CGAGTTTCAGAAGTGGGTATCTGAGGTTCAGAAGTGGGGACCCGATTCTAATGAGGAATCCTTGTTTAGTGTAAGAGATTAGTAACAAAGCTCTAATGTACAAATTGGTACTATATGCATAGAGTCTAGTTGTGAGTCACATTTCATACATAAAGACTATGTGAGTTGATGGTTGCGCTGTTGAGTAAATTGAATGCGTATTATTGATTGTATGATTTTAAGCTACCTTTGCATTCTCTTACACCGTTAATATATTTTAGTGTATTCTCACCCATTTCTTGTTTATTTTGTGTTGTTTTGTATAATGTTGTACATATATTTAGGAGGAGTAAGTGTTATTGTGAGTTGGAAGACGACTACAAAGCTCTCTTCATTTTCTTTATTGTTTTATCTTCATTTAGTTGGGAATACTGATCTCATCTATAACATTGGGGAATAGGTCATTTAATTTGTTTTGAGTTAATGTTGACTTTGTTGATTTCATTAAGAACTTCATTTGAAGAGATAATTGAAGCTTATGTTAATTATTTTGAATTTGGTTGCGAGTTTTGAAAAAAATAGGAAAGTATGCATGTTATGTTGGATTAGCCTCCAATTTTTTTTTGATTTTATTCTTTTTATTTAAGAGTCGGGGTTTTAGGGTGTTACAGGAGGGACTCACCCTTAATTGAGGGACTCACCTTTAACTGAGAGACTCACCCTTAATTGAGATACTTACCTATAATTGAGGGACTCAACCTTATATGAAGGACCCATCCCTAACTAAGGGACTTGTCCTTAACTAAGGGCTCGCCCCTAACTGAGGGACTCACCCTTAACTGAAGGACTCGTCCCTTGTTGAGGGACTCACCCTTAACTGTGGGACTCACACCTAACTGAGAGACTCACCCTTGACTGGAGGACTCACCCATAATTGAGGGACTCGCTTGTGACTATGTGGTTCACTTAATAGAAACAAAGGGTTTAAGATTATATGGAGGTGGAGCTTAATCACTTCGCCTTTTGCAAGTACTCGTGCTTGAGGGACCACAAAGTGATATATTTGTATAGACCCTAAATAAGGCGGTATGAGATCAACCCCCATTAGGCACTCACCATAGAATATGACACATATGTATCCTCCCATCCAGTAAGTAGATTGCCCTAAAGGGAAATGTTGAGGGTGACGTGTCCGTAGTTTGTAGCCACGTACAAAAGAAGTCATGACCATGCTTCCCTAAGAACTAGGTATTCAATAGGCTTTCTAGTCAAACTGGAGCATTTACTATTTCTTAGGATTCTAGAGGTGTTCATCGGTATGGGAAAAACTGAACCAAACTGGAATCCAAACCAGACCATAGTGTTTGGGTCGTGCATTTTTTTAAGTTCGGGTAAAAACTAAACTGAACCAATGAAACCCAATGTTAATTGGTTCGCAAAATAGATTTCTAAAATTTTACTCGTGAGACCCTCTACCCGAACCAACCACAATTGATTCATATACTTTATATTAGCATTATCATGAAAACTAGTATAAGGTATTCAACTTCAACAAGAAAAAATGAAACACTATTTATGACTTTCACAACCTATATGGAGAAATGAAAAAAATTAGGGGTTTGATATTATTATGGAAAATTAGTTTATATAAAATAGATGTTTTTTAAAAGTATTTTATCACATTTTTTTTATTTCTAATATATCTGATCAATTCAATCTAAACCAACCCATTGTTTCTCAGTTTGGTTCAATTTGGACTTTGTAAAAAAATGTGCAAATCCAATTCAAACTAATCCATATATTTTTGATCGGTTTGGGTATCAGATTTTCTTGAAACCGAACTATACTGGCTCACAAACACCCTACAGGATTCCCTAAATCCAACCCCACAAGCATCTATAAACATCTCAACTTGAGGGTTTAAAGGAATACTCTGAATTTACCATAAAATATCATTAGATATTAAGCATCTCACTCTCATGAGCTTGTTCTCACTTCATAGAAAACACCACCAAATTGGACTTATCATAAAATGTGAGCTTGCACTGGCCACCACAATCTATAAAAGCCTATGGCCATCCATAACAACTTAGGGGTGCCACATATCTATATTTTTTTTAGCAAGTACAAAATGTTAATTTTAATTATATAAGTGATAAATCATAATTAATTTAAATTAAATATTACCTTTATATTCCATATGCAAGGAGTAACATGGTCCCAATAGAGCAGAATGATAGACATTTATAATGGCCTCCTAGAAAAACCTTCAAGTGTGTGAGCCGGAGCTTAAGTCTGTGCCTGAGATCGATAACCTTGACCCTAAGATGATTATCTTGACTTAATTTGGGAGCCTTGGTTACTATGTGTTTACCCCAACTCAAACTGTGTATGTTGGGCCTGGGATTATTGCTTTTTCTCTCTACGTGCAAATACATGATGAACTACTCTACTGTGTCGTAAACATTTATGTTCACCTGTCATTTCTCTATAATTTTTAATTAAAAAGGACAAATAAACACATCAACAATGAGAAACATTACTGTCATCCTATAAGGACCCTTTAAAAAAGAATTTTGAATGGTTTCAGAAAGATCCATCTGAATGATATGGTTTTGGAAGATACCTTTTGAAAGCGTGATTATAACCATGACAACTAGCCTAATGTTTCCAAATTCATATAGTAATGTGCGTATAACAAAAATATGGTAAATTTAAACATATCTTGTAGATATTTTGATGGTTATAATGAAATTATATGCCTTATTACTTGATTTGGATAAAAAAAATGAGAGTTTGGAAATTTTAGGATTTTTGGATATTTTTAGAATATGAATCTAATAGAACATGGAATGAGAATAATGTTCGTGTGTATATTGATACACTCTAGAAGGATGCTTCCGGATCAAAGTCACTTGTATGGATCTTTCTGAAAAAGAGTCAAGCTTAATAATTTGGAAAGTCCCTAAGAAATTATGGAGTTTGACTGAGAATTTTGCTTTAACCAAATAGGTGTATAAGAAAGTCTAAGATTTCTGTATTTTTAAAAATAAACTTGGCCTATGTTTGATGTAAGTTAGGTTGTAGGCCTCTTTTAGTCGATATGACATATTCTCACCTCTATATGGTATGAACACACAATCAATCTACTCGCTTGTAACTTGCTAGCACATTTCCTTTCTTTGACATCATTTTTTTTGTAAGCACAATCCATCATCCAGAGAAGTAATAATATGATAAGCATGCTAGGAAATTGCAATCGCCAATTTTGTTGACATGGAGAAATTTAATATGTGACGTCACCAAAAATATCCTCAAAATAGGACATAAATATTGAATTTATTCACTCAGGCATTGTCATGTCAGCAAAATTGACCTCAAAATAGGATTAATGGCCAAAACTAAAAAAAATAAAAAGCGAGAGATCAAAAAGATAATTTTTAAAATGGAAGGGTCGCATCTTTTTCTTCTTTTTTTTCCTTTTCGAAAATAAGGACCAAAAATATATTTAAACTTAAATTAATGAAGAGGTATATTAGTTACTTAAGCATTAACTATGTTTAAAAGACTTTTTTTTTACGCCAACACAATCTAATAAAAGGCATGATTTTTTAAATCATGTTGGTGTTGTGTCGTTTGGATAATTTAGGTAGAATCAACATTTTTTTTATAGAAGGTGGACCCGATGTTGAATAACGACACATGTAATGTGATAAATTTATTTTAAAAAAAACTTTACCTGTTTTGTGTTTCTCTTAAGGGTGACAAAGAGGACGGTCTGATCCGTTTAGGTCCACCCCATTTAAGTCCTTCTAAAAGTGGGGTGGGGCGAGACAGACCAACTTAGACGTCTGAACTCAAAAGTCAAGTTCTCCTTATTTAGTGGACGAGTTGGTGGCCAACACGTCCAATATTTTTTTTAGTTTAATTTACTGCTTTATTTACTAACTTTTAAACCATTAAACCATATGTCATTACTATCCAAACAACAATGCACACCTTTAAGAGTTACTAAACAATAAAATATATAAAAAGTTATAATATTTATTAACCAATAATAATTTTTTCCACTATTTTAGGACTTCTCAATTTTATGATTTTCACTCATAAATTATTGATTTTCATGGTTGCGATTTGCATCTACAATTACTTTAAAATAAATAACATGAAAACGAGTTTTTCAATTTATGATGATGCTAGACATAACTATTCAAATTTCCGTTTTTATCAATAAAGAGGAAAAAAAAAGAGTAGAATGACCTCCTCAATGCACTATCAAATTTTCATTCTAAGTAAATTTTTTTTAATAAAAACCCATCCCAGATTAGACGGAGCGTGTCAACTCAAGACATTGAACCGAAAACTTTATTCCAATCTATCAAGATGGTATATCAAACGGGACAGCAAACTCAACAAACTCCTAAACAAATATCAATCACTATTGAATTGCCAATTGATTGAATATGATTGCAATCACTATTGCACAAAGTTTATGAAAACACATCTCCCATTCTTTCCCATAACCAAGGCATGAAAGGTGGAGAATAACTTTAACATAACATATATTATAAAAGAAAAAAAGAAAGCAAACCATCACTTAAGCGCCAGAGAAATTTAAAATTTGCTTTTTAACTCTAATTTAAGAGCAATTTCAGATTCCATATCATATGTATACCATTACCAAATAAAAATTCCTAGTTAAAACTCACCAGTTTATGCATAAGAAACTTTTGATTAGGCAGAAACATGTGGCAAAAAGTGTAAAGTATATGATGTCCATAAACCAACTCATTTCCACTTTTTAAAGTTTCAATTAATGAGAAATTCCACACATTTACTTTTCAAAAAGCACTTAATCATGTATAGTTTAATAAAGAAAAAGCTGATGTCCTACCTAATTGAAAATTATGAACCATGATCCCATCTTTCTTCAACTACAAGCCTCATTCACTTTTTTAACATCAAACTCATGCACTATAAAGACTAGTGCCATGTAACTCATTGGCACAAGTTCAGTTGAAATGGCTGCACCTGTTGCTATAGGCACAAGAGGCACCATTGGATCACTAGTAAGAAAGGAAATTGAGTATTTCACGAAATTCGAGTTAGATAGAAGAGGAATTTCACAGAAACCTCAGCACCATCTTGCGGACATGGATATGGTTTCTGATAGAACCATTTCCATGCCGAAGCCTAGTTTCTGGTTTTTGCCAACAACATGGAAGAGGAAGAAGCAAAGAAACACAAGTAGATTCTTCAGGAAAATATGTTCTGTTACAGAAGTAAATGAAAGTAATCACTTCAACAGAATTCCGGGTCACAGCTACAAAATCCTCAGGAATGATATCAACAACTTTCAGCTCTAAGTCAGATCCGGATCTACTGCAGTTGAAAAAAAACACATTTACATGTATTTATCGATCTTGGCTAATTGTCATGCTCTTTTTTTTCTCTCTTTCAGATTATGTGTTTCAATTTTGGTGCACATTTAGTAAGAATTGGTCACGTTACGAGCTGATTTTGTTGAATTGAGTTAGATATAAAATTGGAAACAACATATATATAATAAATAAATAATTTAATTGAATTTGGAAACATACATTTATACTTTTGGACATTTGCAACAAATGTCCAATGATGAAATGAGATTGAAACAGAAACTCAGGTGAAACTTTCTTTCAGAAAAAACAAAAGAAAGCAAGATGAATCAAAGGGATCCTGATTCCAATCCCAAAAGGAAATGACTAAAAAGCCTAAACATTTAACACAAACAGAATCACACTCTATAAGCACTTTTTTTATGTCATTTTTTTAGTGAAATCCTATAGTTTGTGTTATGGCCAAATTGTGGCTACTATCAATGTGCCCTTTCAGATCCAAGTGAATTCGGAGCTCTGAAAGATTCAACATGTCCAGCACTTTTTAGAGATTCACCCGCGATGTCTTTTTCGTCAGTCTTGTGAACGGCTAGATGTGTAAGAGCCGTTATCACATCGTCCATGTAAGGCCGCGTATCGGCTTCTTCTTGTAGACACATTGCTGCCACTGCTAGAGCTTGAAATAGTCCCTTCACCGGAAACTGGCCTTTGAGCAAAGGATCGGCCATTAACGTGAACTTTGTTCGGTCGTTAAACAAAGGTTGTGCCTGCGATATCATAAGCAAAACAACCATTTCACAAGCTTTCGCGAATAATCTCACAGATACTTATGCTAGCAAATAAACTCGGCGTAGCATAGTTATTGAAGAGTAAAAGTTAGAGGATAGAAATGTGACATACCCAATCGATTAAGTTTTGTTCTTCTGCAGATCTTGCAGGGTCAATAACTCGTCTACCCGAGATAATTTCCAAAAACACAACGCCAAAACTATAGATATCTGATTTTGAGGATAATTGACCCGAAGCAGCATACTCCGGTGCGCAATAACCGTAAGTCCCCATAACCCGAGTGGAGACCAAGCCCTCACCCTCTGTTGGAGCAATCTTAGCAAGACCAAAATCAGAAAGCTTTGGATTAAAATTTTCATCTAATAGTATATTAGACGATTTAAAATCGCGGAAAATAATCGGCGGATCTGCAGAATTATGCAGGTACTCAAGTCCTCTCGCCGCTCCATCAGCAATTTTCATCCTTGTTTGCCAATCCAACGGTTCCTTATCACCTATATCTGAGCCAGACAGACAAACAAACAAACATATTCTAGTCTTAGTTTTGGTAATCATGTCTTTGAAATTGTAACATGATGTGTTTCGAATGCTTACCTAGAAGGTGATTTTCCAAGCTTCCATTAGCCATATGCTCATAAGCCAAAATCCTTTGATCATCATCAACACAATAACCAACAAGCCTCACAAGGTTTGGATGTTTCACCATACTCAACATCAAAACCTCGGCGAAAAATTCTCTTGTTCCTTGATTCCCATCCCTATTCAATTTCTTCACAGCTACAGTCTAAACACAAATATTCAACATAAGAATTTCATAACTCCGTAAAAAAATACATAAAATCATTAAAAAAAACACAGACCTGTTCAAGGCTCTTTATGTATCCTTTATAAACATTCCCAAATCCACCCTCTCCGATAAGACAATCCGTACTGAAGTTGTTTGTCGCATCAGCGACTTCTTCATACGTTAATACTTTAACATCATTTTGCGCGGTTCCATATTTTAATATCTCTGCAGTAATTTGTCTATGTCTGCTGCTACCTACAAATTTCATGCACATGCACATGCACGTGTAATTAACAAATAGTTTTATAGAATTCGAAAAGACGATTCTATTAATCACGAACGAATCAATTATCGAACCACAAACCTGTTTTGAGTGACATAGCAGCTGCCAATGATTTGAATGTCCTCCTTCCTTTGGAAACATATTTGGAACGTTCTTTCTTATAAGACTTGTTTTCAACATCTGAATTGCAGCATGAAAAGCAATTCATCTTGTTATCAAACAAGAAACCTTAAGAATCTGTGATTAAGAATCAGATTCTTAACCACAGATACATTAATGAATATCAGAATCAATTTCCACGTATGATTCAATAAGGGGAAACAAGAATAATAATACAATGTGGTTGGTTATTGATTCAATTTGTGGAAACAGTAATATTGGAAAACGTTATGCATGTTTCAAATACTGGAAAAAGTCTGTTACATGTTATATATGTTTGAATGGATTTTGTTATTTGCTTATTTTAGTTTTTCGGATTAAAAGTGGATAATCTTAGCTGTTTTTTTTTTTCATTTTTTAAAGGTAATGTGACAAGGATAACAAGTTGTTTTTACCATATTTTATGTATTTTTTGTTTATTTGAATTTCAATTCTAACTTTTTCTTATAGACTATATGAGTTTTTATTGATTAATAAAGTAGAAAATGAAAAAGAAATATGGTGTAAATAAGGTCAATTCTTTTTATTCTTGACCTTTGACAAGAATAGCTATATCTATTATTGGGACGTGACACTCTAAAATATGTGTGTTTAATCTCCATTGAATTTGAATATGTGCACTATTTCATTCATTTGTAACTTATTTTAACTGAATTTTAGTTATTTTTTTAGGTGAACACTCCAGTACCTTTGAATTCAGTTAGATATCAATATTCATATTCAGTATCATATTAGTTTTTATATATATTTTAAAAATAAATTAATATTTTAAATTAATTTATACTAAAGTTATCGGTAAAATTGTTTTTGTTGCTTGACCAAATGGATGAGAAAATGTATTAATGGTTAGGTTTTTTTCCTCTAGCGATTCTTTGTTTTAGAAGATGATCTCACTGATCTAAAGTGTTGGAAATCTCCCAGCAAAGATTAATTTACAGATGCTTCATTAATTTTGGAAAGATATCTAACACCAGGGCCACCTTTTGAAAAAGGCTTACAAACATTGTGCCAAGCTACAATTAATAATTTCCTCTTGCAGATATCTCCATTTCAAATAAAATTTCTCATGTTATTCTCTAGGTCTTTTATGAGACTAAGATGCCAAGAATGAAGCTTTGACGAGGAATAGAACCTGCATAAATTATAGGCTTTTGAGGGTTTACTTGTTGACATGAGCATTCAACATGCCTAATGAAGAGATTTTTGAGGGTCTTAATGTTTGTGATTTCTGAATTTCGGGTTTCGATTTCAGTTTCTTTAGTTTCTGGATTTCAATTTATGGATTCTTGGTTTCAATTTCAGTTTTTCTGGTAGAGTTTGATTTTTCGGGTTTATGGATTTGGGTCTCTAAGGTTGGATTTGGTTATGTTTGGATTTCTATATAATGATAAAAATTCCCAAATCATTGTAGTTTACAAATTAAAAATCGTTATACTCCCATTTTCGTTGTAGTTTTCAAATCGCTGTAGTTTGCATATTAAAAATTGTTATATTCTCTGATCGCTGTTGCGATATACTCCTATTTTCTCATAATAATTGTTATTGCAATAAAAAATTATTCCAGTTATTATCACTTTAGTTTGCAAATTAAAATTTGAAGAAACCGTTACTGTATATCTAATCATGAAGAAACCATTATTGTATTATAATTTTAGTTTGTAAATTGTTCCAGTTATTGCAATTAAATTTTGAAGATGAATATCTATATGCAGGAAGAGTATACTGAAACCGTTATTGCTTAGCCTGTTATTTTCAGGTTGAAGAAGTTTGAAGAAACTCAGGAAAGTAAAAGAATGAATATATCTAATTTGTAAACTTAATCAAAAAGAGAAGTCCCCAATGGTAAAGTGTTTTGACTATAACCAACGTGTTCCTGTTAAAAGAATTTTTTGTTGAATTTTAATTTATTTTGGTGAAAAGCCTGTAGGAGAGCGACACAAAAAATACTAGACAAAGGAAAAGCAAAGAAGAATGTAATGGCTGTATCTAAAACATGACACAAGATTCATACACAACAAAAGAAACTGGGTGAGAAAAATTCTTACAAATGTTAGTGGTGAAAGTAAACAACAAAATAATTATAAAATATATAGATCATTCTCACACAACAACAACAATACAATTTATAATGCAAAATGTACCAACTTCTTCTCCAATATGCACGTGGTCCTAGATTTTTGGGCATCAAAAGAGTATCAATGATTCATCCATGTCTCTAGTTCCTCCTCATTGGACATGAGACCATCATGCCTCCTCTCTGAACCTGATTTCACTGGACTGGAGTCCTACCTAACTCCAGTAAACATGTATGCATGGTCATGATAGAAAACAATAATAAAACTCAAACAATAACCAAAATTATTCTCAAAACTTCATACTCAAACATGTTCCTCTCTTAAACCATGAGTTTGCCAATTATCATACCTCACTGCAATTCCTCTAAATTATTCAACTTAAAATATAATTAATTTTAGTAATTATATTATACCTCAAAATTATCAACATTTGAGTAAAACTTTATTATTTCTTATCAACTTAAAAATTCATCAACATACTTAAAACATTTCAATAGAACATTTCAACAGAGTTCTTAAGGAACACTAAACAACTTTACACTAGCTCCTAAACCTCAAAAATGACTCTAAAATACTCAAACATCTTATACAAATAATTTTTCACAAGTGATAGTTCTACTGAATTTTAAGGGCCGACAACTTAACTCAAAATTGCTCAAAAATAGCACAAAGATAACAAAAGTGTTACCAACGCTAAAATTGCACAAATAAGAGGATAAAAATGCATCGCAATCCTGACCACTTAAAACCACTCATGAGTAAAAGAAACCCTATATATATATATATATATATATATATATATATATATATATATATATATATATATATATATATATATATATATATATATATATATATATATATATATATATATATATATATATATATATATATATATATATATATATATATATATATATATATATATATATATATATATATATATATATATATATATATATATATATATATATATATATATATATATATATATATATATATATATATATATATATATATATATATATATATATATATATATATATATATATATATATATATATATATATATATATATATATATATATATATATATATATATATATATATATATATATATATATATATATATATATATATATATATATATATATATATATATATATATATATATATATATATAACCCTAAAAAGTTTCAAATTATTTCCACTCATACTAATATATAGTTTTAATATAACATTTTTATTTTAATTTAATAAAATTCCACTAAATAATTATTTAATAAAAATATAACTTATGCATTAACTATAAAATATGCAATTTCTATCATTTATTAAATTACTAAAATACATTCAAAATTCATAAAATACATGAAATACATTTATTATATATATATATATATATATATATATATATATATATATATATATATATATATATATATATATATATATATATATATATATATATATATATATATATATATATATATATATATATATATATCCATTCATTCAGTTACATCTAATAATTTAAATAAGTCAATAAAATAAAATCGTGGTGTTACAACTCTCTCCCATTAAAAAGAATTTTCACCCTAAAAAGTTACATGGCGAAATAACTCCGAATAAGACCTCCTCATCTGACTCTGCATCTTCCACGTAATGCTCCCTCTAGCAGGTCCTCCCCACACCACTTTCACCAGAGCAATTTCTTTACCTCTTAATTGCTTCACTTCTCGATCCTTAATCTGCATAGGTGATGCCTCAACAGTTAAATCATCTCTTACTTATATACTATCCATTCAGATCACATGTGATAGATCATGAACATACTTCCGAAGCTGAGACACATGGAAAACATCATATGAAGGTTTGAAAGATATGGGGGTAAAGCCACTTGTTATACAACAACTCCAACTCTCTGGGTAATCTGATAAGAACCAATGAAGCGAGGAGTGAACTTCATAGACTTTAGCGCATGACCAACACAAGTCATAAGAGTGACTCTAAAAAACACATGGTTACCTCTATGAACTCAAGGGCCTTACTCCGCTGGTAGCTCTTTTTTCTGCTCTGCGAGACCTTCATCTTCTCTTGGATTGACTTTCTCATTAGTTTGTTGAACAATCACAGGTCCGAGCACCACACTCTATCTAGGCTCAAACCAAAATAAAGGCGTCCTACATTTCCTTCCATACAAAGCCTCAAAAGGTGTCATTCCAATACTAGAGTGGAAATTTTTGTTGTAAGTAAACTCAATCAGTGGTAGATAAATGTCCCAAGCACCTCATTGCTCTAAGACACAAGCCCTTAACAAGTCTTCTAAAGACTAAATAGTCCTCTCAGTATGATGTTTGTTTGCGAATCGTAGGCAGAGCTCAACCTCAAATTAGTGCCTAAAGCATCCTGCAAACTCTCCTAAAACCTGAACGTGAATATCTGATCTCTGTAAAAAAAATACTTGATGGAATACCATGCAACTTCACAATCACATTGATGTAGATCTCCGCTAGTCTTTGCAATGGAAAACTGATCTTAATCAGAATAAAGTGAACCGACTTAGCCACTATATCCACAACAACCCAAATTGTATCATTTCCCACCCGAGTATTCGACAATCCTGTCATGAAATCCATATAGATGCTATCTCATTTCTATTAAGGTATATACAACGGTTGTATCAGTCCAAACGACTTCTGATGCTTAATCTTTGACTTCTAATGATTTAAATAAGCATAAACAAAGTGTGTGATGTCTCTTTGCGCTCCCCGACCACCAAAATATATTCTTAAGATCTTGGTACATTTTAGTAGCCTAGGGATGAATTCTCAAACTACTTCTGTCAGTTTCCTCTAAAATTATTCTCTTAAGCTCCGACACATCAGACATAAAAATTCTATTCTAGAACTTTAATATTCCATTCTCATAAACTTTAAAGTACTCATCTCCATTATGGTTAACTAATGATAAA